TGAGCAAGTTACAGTAGTTCAAATTTAACTTTGGCTTTTTGTTCAACACAATCCAGAGGTCAAAGCTCAAATTAGGCTATGACTACCGCATATTAAATGAAACATTTTAAGTCTATATTTGTGCTTGTTCTTGACCACATATACAATGTGTCAATTACCTAGTTATATCCCAGGACTGAAGCAGTACAGGAATAGATTGAGATTTGATCATAACATCCTTTTGTTTGATGTGTGAACAATGTGTATTTCTGTATACACTGTTGACAGAAGATCAGAAGATCGCAGAAGTAATTATTTATAATGATGTTTAACAACACAGGAAATTGAAATCATTACAGTATCGTTAGTTCTTTGAAATATTCTCGAAGTTTTTTGAATGTGAAAGTATAATTTACATACTGAACAGGAAAATGAAATCTTCTCAATTTTTTTGAACACTGATATAAATAACAATTAACAATTCATTTCAATTATTACATTATCAATTTGTTTTCATATCTTCCCACATTTCCACATCTATCTATGCCTGATGAAAGGGCACTCACTTCCGGTTCAGACGACCTAAAAACGATCGAAAACAGCTTGATCGTTTATTATAATATATCGGTTATTATAATATTTTTCTCTGGAATATCATAAAAAGCAGGTTCCACTGTACTGGTATTAAGGATCTTTTATGAATTTTAGAATGTGCACAAACAGTACGAATTACTATATGTTTGTAGACTAGCTGGCACTGGAGACTCAGATGTAAATGTTGAAACACTATGTCATTCAGAGATAGATATATACCCAAACATGTTTCTATAATCAAATGGAAATAGGGGTACAGAGAAACACAGACCTGAGAGCACTGATTGGTTGGTGGTAGAAACACAGACCTGAGGGCCCTGATTGGTTGGTGGTAGAAACACAGACCTGAGGGCCCTGATTGGTTGGTGGTAGAAACACAGACCTGAAGGCCCTGATTGGTTGGTGGTAGAAACACAGACCTGAGGGCCCTGATTGGTTGGTGGTAGAAACACAGACCTGAGGGCCCTGATTGGTTGGTGGTAGAAACACAGACCTGAAGGCCCTGATTGGTTGGTGGTAGAAACACAGACCTGAAGGCCCTGATTGGTTGGTGCGGATGGGAATGTTTGTACTAAATACACATTAAATCCCTGAACACTTTTATGAATCACGCAAATGTTGTTTCCATAAGATATAAAAAAAAAATGAAAAATTTACAGGAATCATACATTTTAAGTATTTTTTTCTGTGAATATCAGCATCTTAAAATTGATTTCTATTTGTCATTAAAATATGATGACATTTACTGTAAACATTACTGTACTTGCCAGTAAAAACTGTGAATTTTGTTATGGAATATTCACTGAACAACATCATACAGCGACATTCATTTAACAACATTACTGGACTTACCAGTAAAAACAGTGAAGTAACATATTATTTCAAATTTATTAATATGTATTTTGAAAAATGATTCGTCAAATATTGACAAACATCCTGAGCTTTGTGTACAGCTCACTGATAAATATCGCATGATAATCGTGTTGTTCTCCATACCATTGTAACAAAGTAAAGTCATAAGACATTTCACATAGATAATCCTGTTCTATTGTTTTCACATATTCACTTGATGTCTCATTAATTATAAGCAGTTGAGATTATTAGTGTTTTGCCCAATTCAGTCGTGGTTAGGTCGAGATACCTGTTGTCCTCCAATGTTAAGTCAGCGAGAAGGAGTACAAATACATACTAACCTGTACCGATTTAGATTTGGAGTCAGATATTTGCAGCAGACAGCAGATACTTTCAGTATGTACATCTTGCCGTCATGTCACTTTTTGGCCGAGAACATTTGTTTCACTAACATACAGTGACTAAAATTCACCGTTTATATTGTACATGACTTAACTGGTACGACTTCACTTGTTGTGTAGCTAAGCAGTTTACTGATGTTGTCAACTTATTACTAAGTTAGCTGTTGTGTAGTTAGTTGATGTGATTTTGTAACTATGTTGTTCAATCATACGGAACCGATTTTATGAAATTATCAACTTTCTTTTTGACGGGGGTGGTTATAATTTTCGAATGGATTTGATTGTTCCATCCTGAAAAATGTTCAATCTGCAGCTTAAATTTTCTATTGATAGGCTGATTATGGCTGATCTTATATTAGACAGCACTAATAATGCTGATTGGAACCTAGGAGAAATGTAAACACATACACACCATAAGTACCAAACTGGTGTTAGTCATCGCACACATTGTAAACAAAGCACCATAGTGAAACTTGGTCCCTCTATAAATAGATTTGTACATACTTTTGGTATTACATCATGCCTACCAACACACATGTACTAGTCCAGGTAACCAACACACATGTACTAGTCAAGGTAACCAACACACATGTACTAGTCCAGGTCTTGAAATGAAAAGTGTATCTATTTCTTCGTAATCTCCCTGCTTCCTGCACAGGCGACACATCCACTTCCGTGGAATTCTTGTTTCAAGAAGTCTTTGACAGATATCTCAACTTTCAAATGTAGGTTTCCCTCTCACACATTCAGTACAGTGTTGATAGGTAGGTAGGGTTCCCTCTCACACATTCAGTACAGTGTTTATAGGTAGGTAGGTAGGTTTCCCTCTCCCACATTCAGTACAGTGTTAATAGAAAGGGACGTGCCCCGCGCACACAACCAACACAGTGTTAAAAGGTAGGTAGGTTTCCCGCTCACACATTCAGCACAGTGTTAATAGGTAGGTAGGTAGGTTTCGCTCTCACACATTCAGTACAGTGTTTATAGGTAGGTAGGTAGGTTTCCCTCTCACATTTAGTACAGCGTTAATAGGTAGGGAGGTTTCCCTCTCACACATTAAGTACAGCGTTAATAGGGAGGGAGGTTTCCCTCTCACACATTCAGTACAGTGTTAATAGGTAGGGAGGTTTCCCTCTCACACATTCAGTTCAGCGTTAAAAGGTGGGTAGGTAGGTTTCCCTCTCACACCTTCAGTACAGTGTTAATAGGTAGGGAGGTTTCCCTCTCACACATTAAGTACAGCGTTAATAGGGAGGGAGGTTTCCCTCTCACACATTCAGCACAGTGTTAATAGGTAGGTAGGTTTGCCTCTCACACATTTAGTACAGCGTTAATCGGGAGGTAGGTTTCCCTCTCACACATTAAGTACAGCGTTAATAGGGAGGTAGGTTTCCCTCTCACACATTAAGTACAGTGTTAATAGGTAGGTAGGATTCCCTCTCACACATTCAGTACAGCATTAATAGGTAGGTAGGTAGGTTTCCATCTCACACATTCAGTACAGTGTTGATAGGTAGGTAGGGTTCCCTCTCACACATTTAGTACAGCGTTAATAGGTAGGGAGGTTTCCCTCTCACACATTAAGTACAGTGTTAATAGGTAGGTAGGTAGGTTTCGCTCTCACACATTCAGTACAGTGTCAATAGGTAGGTAGGTTTCCCTCTCACATTTAGTACAGCGTTAATAGGTAGGGAGGTTTCCCTCTCACACATTCAGCACAGTGTTAATAGGTAGGTAGGTAGGTTTCGCTCTCACACATTCAGTACAGTGTCAATAGGTAGGTAGGTTTCCCTCTCACACATTCAGTACAGTGTTAATAGGTAGGTCACAAAGAATCTCGCTTTGAAAGAACAATGTCATACATAGCAGTTTGAAGTTTTCATCAAAAGATTCCCCATTACATGACTCGTCCAACAGGTAACAGAGAAGAAGAGAAAAGATCAATCGAACATTAAACCATTGAAGATCTTATGACCACGCTGCATGACTATGGTTCCATGTGTGTATATAGAAAGTAAAATAAAACAATACAATTATATAGTGATAAAGACAAAGAGCAGAAATATCAAATATCCTTTTATTTTGTGTATATTATATCCCTTAGACCAGGAAAATGTAACAAAGGGAAATAAGTCATTTCTCATTTCATCATGCAGTTGATTAATCCAATGAAACTGGTAATTCAAGGAGTGTCATCAATAGACAAGTTTTCCAGAATTAGTTCCCTCGGAAACTGTTAATGTAGTGCCTACTTGTATTTTGAATGTACAATGAATATGTATGGTGAACATAAATATCATTGACATAAACAGGGAAACCAATGTAAACAATCTGGTCTGATAAAAGTCATGTTTACATACCATAGTGTATATACATATGAAACACTGAAGGTCATCATTTATTTTTAGCTCACCTAGAACAAAGTACTTGTGAGGTTACTGTATATGTGTATAGTGTCCTCTGTCAAAGTTTTAATATTTGTTTTTGAAAACTAAAGACCCAGGGTCCTGATATCTGACCAGTTGGTGTTGCGGATGGTTGGTTTGGCAGTTTGAAGTTTCCTTGTATAAATCAAATAAACTTTACCCACATTCAAGGTCACAAATATCTTCAATAAGATTCATCAGTTTGGAAATGTTTTGGTTCATAGCTTGACAAAGGGACCAATCGGTCTTGAGACATTGTGACACATTTGATATGCAGATTGCTTTTGTATCAAGTAAAACTTTGATATTATCTTAAGAACCAGTGTCTGCAGTGATTAAAACCTGGTTATGTAGACAAGCATTGCAAATATTTTTTGAATTTATTGTGTTGAGGTCAGAGGTTACAGTTCAACATTAGCTATAATGAATATAAAGTTTTAAGAAACTTGTTAAGTTGTGCTCGCTCCATGACCATGATATTTGGCCAATATCTACCTTGGATGTTGTGCTATAAAGTTTCCTAATATAAGTGAAATTTGCGTACTTCCAAGGTCACAGTGTGAAAATATTAAAACCTTCAAGCAACGTTAGATAAAATACCTTAAGATCTAAACCAATGATACTTAGAATGTTATGTAAACCAGCAGTGAAAATCTTTTATATTTTTTAATGCTTCCATTATCTACTACAGTATCTAATAAAAAAAAAATGTTGGGGTAATGATATGTAACGTTTGATTATATTGCAGGCTCGTCCCAAGGGGGAGGGGCTAACACCCTATCAAGGAAAGAAGAGATGTTTCGGGGAATACAAGTGTCCCAAATGTAAACGCAAGTGGATGAGCGGAAATAGCTGGGCCAACATGGGACAGGAGTGTATAAAGTGTCACATTAATGTCTACCCTCACAAACAGGTACGTTTTAGTCTCCGCACCTATACTCATAAACAGGTACGTCTTCCTGTCTCTCGCTTACCCTCACAATCAAAAACTCCTTCCTATCTCCTTTCTTACCCTCACAATCAAGAACACCTTCCTATCTCCTTTCTTACCCTCACAATCAAGAACACCATCCTGTCTCCACGCTTACCCTCACAATCAAGAACATCTTCCTGTCTCCTTTCTTACCCTCACAATCAAGAACATCTTCCCGTCTCCTTGCTTACCCTCACAATCAAGAACTCCTTCCTGTCTCCTTTCTTACCCTCACATTCAAGAACATCTTCCTATCTCCTTGCTTACCCTCACAATCAAGAACATCTTCCCGTCTCCTTTCTTACCTTCACAATCAAAAACATCTTCCTATCTCCTTTCTTACCCTCACAATCAAGAACACCATCCTGTCTCCACGCTTACCCTCACAATCAAGAACACCTTCCTATCTCTTTTCTTACCCTCACAATCAAGAACATCTTCCCATCTCCTTTCTTTCCCTCACAATCAAAAACATCTTCCTATCTCCTTGCTTACCCTCTCAATTAAGAACATCTTCCTGTCTCCTGACCTCACAATCAGGTACAGGTTTTATGGTCTCCATATTTATACTCACAAAAAGGTATGTCTTTTGCTTTGTTGCCAAACTTGTATTCGCAAACAGGTTTTTTCTTCCTTGTTTCCACACCTGCACTCGGATATGTATGATTTTTAAGGTCTCTGCACTTAAACTTAAAGGTATGTTTTCCAGTATTTCCACACTTCAACTCGCACACAGGTATTTTTTCCTGTCTTTGCATTTACACTCGGCAAACAGCTACATCTTCCTATGTCTCTTCACTTACTTACACAAATGCCTTATCAGGTACAGGTTTTATGGTCTCCATATTTATACTCACAAAAAGGTATGGCTTTTGCTTTGTTGCCAAACTTGTATTCGCAAACAGGTTTTTTCTTCCTTGTTTCCACACCTGCACTCGGATATGTATGATTTTTAAGGTCTCTGCACTTAAACTTAAAGGTATGTTTTCCAGTATTTCCACACTTCAACTCGCACACAGGTATTTTTTCCTGTCTTTGCATTTACACTCGGCTAACCGCTACATCTTCCTATGTCTCTTCACTTACTTACCCAAATGCCTTCCTATGTCTCTTCACTTACTTTCACAAATGCCTTCCTATGTCTCTTCACTTCCTTACACAAATGCCTTCCTATGTCTCCTCCCTTACTTACACAAATGTCTTCCTATGTCTCTTCACTGACTTACACAAATGCCTTCCTATGTCTCCTCACTTTCTTACACAAATGTCTTCCTATGTCTCCTCACGTACTTACACAAATGTCTTCCTATGTCTCCTCACTTACTTACACAAAAGTCTTGCTATGTCTCTTCACTTACTTACACAAATCCCTTCCTATGTCTCTTCACTTACTTACTCAAATGCCTTCCTATGTCTCCTCACTTACACAAATGCCTTCCTATGTCTCCCCACTTACTTACACAAATGCCTTCCTATGTGTCTTCACTTACTTACACAAATGCCTTCCCATGTCTCCTCACTTACTTACACAAATGGCTTCCTATGTCTCTTCACTTACTTACACAAATCCCTTCCTATGTCTCCTCACTTACTTACACAAAAGTCTTGCTATGTCTCTTCACTTACTTACACAAATGCCTTATCAGGTACAGGTTTTATGGTCTCCATATTTATACTCACAAAAAGGTATGGCTTTTGCTTTGTTGCCAAACTTGTATTCGCAAACAGGTTTTTTCTTCCTTGTTTCCACACCTGCACTCGGATATGTATGATTTTTAAGGTCTCTGCACTTAAACTTAAAGGTATGTTTTCCAGTATTTCCACACTTCAACTCGTATACAGGTATTTTTTCCTGTCTTTGCATTTACACTCGGCTAACCGCTACATCTTCCTATGTCTCTTCACTTACTTACACATATGCCTTCCTATGTCTCTTCACTTACTTTCACAAATGCCTTCCTATGTCTCTTCACTTCCTTACACAAATGCCTTCCTATGTCTCTTCACTTACTTGCACAAATGCCTTCCTATGGCTCTTCACTTACTTACACAAATGCCTTCCTATGACTCTTCACTTACTTACACAAATGCCTTCCCATGTCTCCTCACTTACTTACACAAATGCCTTCCGATGTCTCCTCACTTACTTACACAAATGCTTTCCTATGTCTCCTCACTTACTTACACAAATGCTTTCCTATGTCTCCTCACTTACTTACACAAATGCCTTCCTATGTCTCCTCACTTACTTACACAAATGTCTTCATATGTTCCTTCACTTGCATAAAACACACTAGAATGTCCTTGTATATGTCCCTGTACTAAGCTTCACACAGATATATGCTCTCACACTTACCCTTATAGGTATATACACATAGGTACGTCTCTACACTTGCCCTCGTACACAAGTATACTCTCGTACCTTTTCTCATTCAGATATTGCTTCACATGTCCCAACAACTGCCCTCACATATAGTTATGCCCTCATTTTCCCAAACACCTACCTTCATAGACATGTATACCCACATATTTATAAACACCTTCCTTCATAGACTTGTAGACTCTCATATTTATAAACACCTCCCTTCATAGACATGTTTACCCTCATATTGCAAAACACCTAACTTCATAGACATGTATACACTCATATTTATAAACACCTACCCTCATAGACATGTATACCCACATATTTATAAACACCTGCCTTCATAGATTTGTAGACCCTCATATTTATAAACCCCTTCCTTCATAGACATGTATTCCCACATATTTAAAAACACCTACCTTCATATACATGTATACCCTCATATTTACAAACACCTACCTTCATAGCCATGTATACCCTCATATTTATAAGCACCTACCTTCATAGACCTGTATACCCTCACATTTATAAACACCTACCTGCATAGACATGTATACCCACATATTTATAAACACCTCCCTTCATAGACATGTATACTCTCATATTTATAAACACCTCCCTTCATAGACATGTATCCCCTCCTATTTATAAACACCTACCTGCATAGACATGTATACCCTCATATTTACAAACACCTACCTTCATATACATGTATACCCTCATATTTATAATCACCTGCCTTCATAGACATGTATTCCCTCATATTTATAAACCCCTACCTTCATAGACATGTATACACTCATATTTATAAACACCTACCATCATAGACATGTATACCCTCATATTTACAAACACCTACCTTCATATACATGTATACCCTCATATTTATAAGCACCTACCTTCATAGACCTGTATACCCTCACATTTATAAACACCTACCCTCATAGACATGTATACCCACATATTTATAAACACCTGCCTTCATAGATTTGTAGACCCTCATATTTATAAACACTTACCTTCATAGACATGTTTACCCTCATATTTATAAGCACCTACCTTCATAGACATTTATACCCTCATATTTATAATTACCTACCTTCATAGACACGTATACCCTCCTATTTATAAACACCTACCTTCAAAGACATGTATACCCTCATATTTACAAACACCTACCTTCATATACATGTATACCCTCATATTTACAAACACCTACCTTCATAGCCATGTATACCCTCATATTTATAAACACCTCCCTTCATAGACATGTTTACCCTCATATTTATAAACGCCTACCTTCATAGACATCTATACCCTCATATTTATAATCACCTGCCTTCATAGACATGTATCCCCTCCTATTTATAAACACCTACCCTCATAGACATGTATACCCTCATATTTATAAACACCTACCTTCATAGACATGTTTACCCTCATATTGCAAAACACCTACCTTCATAGACATGTATACCCTCATATTTATAAGCACCTACCTTCATAGACATGTATACCCTCCTATTTATAAACACCTACCTTCATAGACATCTATACCCTCATATTTATAAACACCTACCTTCATATACATGTATGCCCTCATATTTATAAACACCTACCTTCATAGACTTGTAGACTCTCATATTTATAAACACCTACCTTCATAGACACGTATACCCTCCTATTTATAAACACCTACCTTCATAGACATGTAGACCCTCATATTTATAAACACCTACCTTCATAGACTTGTATGCCCTCATATTTATAAACACCTACCTTCATAGACATGTATACCCTCATATTTATAAACACCTACCTTCATAGACATGTAGACCCTCATATTTCAAAACACCTAGCTTCATAGACTTGTAGACCCTCATATTTCAAAACACCTACTTTCATAGACATGTGTGACCTCATTTTCCCAAACACCTAGATAGGTATGCCCTCATGTTTACAAACGTCTACCTTCATAGACTTGTATGCCCTCATTTTCCCAAACACCTGCCCTCACAGAGATGGGTATGCCCCCATGTTTTACAAACATCTACCTTCATAGACTTGTATGCACCCATATTCCCAAACACCTGCCCCCACAGAAATAGGTATGCCCTCATGTTTACAAACATCTACCTTCACAGACTTGTATGCACCCATTTTCCCAAACACCTGCCCCCACAGAGATAGGGATGCCCTCATGTTTACAAACAGCTACCTTCATAGACTTGTATGCCCTCATGTTTACAAACACCTACCATAATAGACATGTATGCACCCATATTCCCAAACACCTGCCCCCACAGAAATAGGTATGCCCTCTTGTTTACAAACATCTACCTTCACAGACTTGTATGCACCCATTTTCCCAAACCCCTGCCCCCACAGATAGATATGCCCTCATGTTTACAAACATCTACCTTCATAGACTTGTATGCCCTCATTTTCCCAAACACCTGCCCCCACAGATAGATATGCCCTCATGTTTACAAACATCTACCTTCATAGACTTGTATGCCCTCATTTTCCCAAACACCTGCCCCCACAGAGATAGGTATGCCCTCATGTTTACAAACACCTACCATAATAGACATGTATGCACCCATATTCCCAAATACCTGACACTCATTCACAGGTAAACAGATCTTACTTACCCTCCCAAACAGGTATATTAACAGAAACTGTACAAGCAACATACACCTGTATTAAATCCAATGTTGTTAAGGTCATAGGAGTGTATTGATAAACGGATATATGAAGTATATCCCTAGTATCCAATGTAGGGAGACAGTATCACAATTTCCGCATAATCTAATGTTTAATATTAAAGTGATGAATATTGTATGCTTATTATTGACAGAACAGCGTGTTCTCTCAATATTAAAGTATTTCAAAGCAATTCCAGCATTAATTCAGCTGGTTTTTTATCAATGAGTCACATGTGTCCATTTTTCTGTACCGGCTACCTATTTCACTACTGTGAAGTTTTTCAAGGAAGGTAACTCTTTACATCCAATTACAATGTACTATGTGTACATGGTTTCATTATAAAATGTCAATTTTTAATCATTTACAGATAATTAATTTTACACAATTTCAGCATTTATTAAATTGATATAAATTAATGCAATGCTTATCTATGTTAGTATCATTTTTATTGACATTGTTTTGTCAAAAATTGTGTCTTTCAATTTTTTTTCTAAATTCACTCCTTTTTACATACATTTCCATTTAAAATCCTTAAAGTTCTGACAGCCTATATTTTGTTTTTGGCTGAAAATTTTCTTAACTTCAAAGAAATATAACTACAAAATTTGAAGAAATTCTACTGAGAAATGGCGACACAATCCTATTACCTTAACAGATAACAAACAGCTCACAACATGTTTCTTTTGTCATTTCTTAGAGGCCCCTTGAAAAACCTGATGGCTTGGACGTGTCGGATCAGAGCAAGGTGCACCCACAACATCTTTGTGAAAAGTGCAAGGTATTGGGATATTACTGTAGGAGGATGAACTAGGCCAAGGACAAACAACAAGGTCAAGGACATCATTAAATTTTATAGAGAGGAAGACATGAAATTTTTATAGAGAGGAAGACATGAAATGTTTTCTTTCAATTTCATTGCTGAAAGCAATACAGGGATATGAAATCAAAGCTTTACTGATGAACTGTCTCTCTATAAATTCTATGTACAAAGTACATGTTAAAACAGAGATGACATGACATTTATATTGCATGATAACTTTGATCCAGTATGAACTGTTATGAAATTAACAAAAATTAGTGCTGTTTTAATTTGGGAGTACTGTGTGGTTCATAACCTATTTGATGTACAGCATGTGTATGACATGGAAAATATGTGTCAGTCAAGGTTAAAACAAAAAGAGAAACGTTCTTGTACCTTAAAAAGGGGTTTTAATATCAGCCTCCTTGTAACATGAGGGGTTTAGAGTTTGGATGTTACCATGAGGGGTTTGGATATCACCCCTTCTTACCGTACCACGAAGGCCTTGTAACATGAGGGGTTTGGATATCACCCCTTCTTACAGTACCACGAAGGCCATCAGTGAAGTTGTGGAGATGTGTTGATTGTGAATGATTCTCAAAACAACAGACGAGGTCCTTGAGAAATCTGACATCGGTTTCTTAAAGTCTCTTTCGATTTGACATAATGCCAAGAAATCAACAGTTCATGAATACTGTAAAAGTAGAAATTATTGCTACGTGAAAATACTCTTATTTTTCGTTTTGAGTGAATTGTCACAAAAATATTTAACAAGAATATTCACATTATATATATTTAATACATTAATAAGATACATAGATTTTAGAACAATTGCCATGAAAAAAAGTCCACACCACGATCAGTGTAAGAGTCACAACGTGAACATTTCCACCCGGGAGAGTTTCCAATTTGACAGTATGGAGGAGATGCTTCTTGGCACGAAATATTTGAAAGCTTATTGGAAATTTATTGTCTTGTATACAGAATTTCCACTAGAATGTCATTCTTCCTTTAAAGGAGATATAGGATGCTAGATGTTAGAGTGACTATCACTGCAGTACCACACGGTAAGGGAGACTCATTATAAAACCAGGAACATTTCCTACTGCAGGTCATAACTTAGTGTAAATGGATGATCAGACTTCAGTGCGGACTGGTCACAAGTCCTTATCTGTCCTAGCCACAGTCTTGTGGACAAAAGTATCATCAGACCTATTCTCCTTAATGAAATGACTAGCAATACTACCAACACAGAGTAGGTCTGCCTAAGCTATGGTCTTCAAGGTATCAAATCACTAGCCTCAACTCTTGAGCAATAAAATGGGCAGGTCTTGTTTCCCCCTAACAAAGTCTAAAGCCTAGTCACTGGCCACATTATGTCTAGCCCCAGTCACTGGCCAACAGTATGTCTAAAATTAGTCACTGGTCAACAGTAATTCTAGCCCTGGTCACATGGCCAACAGTATGTCTAGCCCTTGACACTGACCAACATCATGTCTAGCCCTTGTCACTGGCCAACAGTAAGTCTAGCCCTAATCACTGGCCAACATTATGTGTAGCCCTAGTCACTGCCCAACATCATGTCTAGCCCTAATCACTGGCCAACAGTATGGGTAGCTGTGGACCTGGTCAACAGTATGTCTAGCCCTTGTCACTGGCCAACAGTATGTCTAGCCCTTGTGACTGGCCAACAGTATGGGTAGCCGTGGACCTGGCCAACAGTATTAGCCCTGGTCACATGGCCAACAGTATGTCTAGCCCTTGACACTGACCAACATCATGTCTAGCCCTTGTGACTGGCCAACAGTAAGTCTAGCCCTAATCACTGGCCAACATTATGTGTAGCCCTAGTCACTGCCCAACATCATGTCTAGCCCTTGTGGCTGGCCAACAGTATGGGTAGCTGTGGACCTGGTTAACAGTATGTCTAGCCCTTGTCACTGGCCAACAGTATGTCTAGCCCTAGTCACTGGCCAATATTATGTCTAGCCCTTGTGACTGGCCAACAGTATGGGTAGCCGTGGACCTGGCCAACAGTAATTCTAGCCCTGGTCACATCGCCAACAGTATGTCTAGCCCTTGTGACTGGCCAACAGTATGTCTAGCCCTTGTGACTGGCCAACAGTATGTCTAGCCCTTGTGACTGGCCAACAGTATGGGTAGCCGTGGACCTGGCCAGCAGTATGTCTAGCACTGGTCACTGACCAACACTTTATCTTGCCCTAGTCACTTACCAACAGTAAGTCTAGCCCTAGTCACTGGCCAACATAATTTCTAGCCCTAGTCACTAGCCAACAGTATGTGTAGCCCTAGTCACTGACCGTATGTCTAGCACTGGTCACTGGCTAATACTTTATCTTGCCCTAGTCACTTACCAACAGTATGTCTAGCCCTCTCACTGGCCAACAGTATGTCTAGCCCTAGTCACTGGCCAACAGTTTGTCTAGCCCTAGTCACTGGCCAACAGCATGTCTTGACTTAGTCTCTGGCCAACAGTATGTCTAGCCCTTGTCACTGGCCAACAGTATGTCTAGCTGGTCACCTTGCCAACAGCATGGCTGACCCTTGTCATCACACCAACAACTGTGTTGCCTCTGTCATCTCGCCAAGAGTATTGCTGGCTAAGACATCCTGAAGGTCTAGCCCTAATCACTGGCCAACATGTGTAGCCCTAGTCACTGTCCAACACTATGTCTAGCTGGTCACCTTGCCAACAGCATGGCTGACCCTTGTCATCACACCAACAATAGTGTTGCCTCTGTCATCTTGCCAAGAGTATTGCTGGCTAAGATATCCTGAAAGGAGACTGTTGCATTTAACATATGTTAAAAAATAGTGTTATCCTGCGAGATCCTTTTTTCTAGAAAAGGGTTATATTTTAAGGATCAAATGTAAAGAATTAAATTGAAGGTACTAATTCACATTTGGGGTCCATAAAATATTTCAATGGACATGTATTTATAACTTAACGTGAGCTCTCTCCCCTTTCTGTTATTATCTTCTGTGGTATAAAAGTTGCAAGATCAGGGTTACAGCAAGATGTGTATTATGAACTTAGCTGTTGAGTAAACTGGTAGTGTTGGCAGCAGCTAGAGTAGGATATAAATAATATCGGCCGAAAAACAGTAGACTCTCCTGCACTAGCACAGGAGGATAAATTTGTTGACAATTTTCTGGAAAGTGATTGGTGGATAAAATACTTGACTGTGTTGTTCAGAGCTATGGAAGCACAAAGTAATTATTATAAACCTGCTAGGAAGTACAAGAATGACCATGTTACTTGGCAAGCAGGCATTTCCATTTAAACCTGACTTCTCGCACTCCTATATCTATATTTAGGTAATCCCCCTCTTGCTGTCAAATATTGATACTTAAAGCTACTCAAGTGGGACCGACCATAAGTCTCGATTCCAGTGCTACTCTTAGGATCATTGTTCTGAATCTCTACATTCTACTTGCAATTCTCATTGATCTTTAATATATTCCAGATTTTAGTGAGTGGGAACCTGTCTATATAGTTCCTCTGGCCTTGAACAGCATGCCCTTGTCCTAGGTTTTGTTTTATATGTATGTTCAGTATGACTCCCTATTCCAACATGTACTAAGAACAATGAAAACTTTGACCAAGATATGGTAAAGTTGATATGTAAATTTCTGCTTCACAAGAGAATTTAATTCAAGATTATTGATTTATGTTGTAAGACTTTTTTTATTATTATTATTTACACTAAGATTTTTGAGATTTTATATTGATTGATATTTATTTGTATATGATGGGAAGCTGGATAAAAAGTGATTATAATAGAATCAATTGTCATAGATAACTATTCTGTCTATTCCTACTGATTGATTACAGGTGTAACATAGTTTCTGTGCCAGGTGTAACTTTGTTTCTTAGACAGGTGTAATATAGTTTCTGTGACAGGTGTAACAGTTTCCGAGACAGGTGTAACTTTCTGTGACGGGTATAATTTGTTTCTGTGACCGATATAACTTTGTTCCTGTTACAGGTGTAACTTTGTTTCTGTGACAGGTGCAATATAGTTTCTGTTACAGGTGTAACTTTGTTTCTGTGACAGGTGTAACTTTGTTTCTGTGACAGGTGAAACAGTTTCAGTGACAGGTGCAACAGTTTCTGTGAAGTTTGTTTCTGTGACATGTGCAACATAGTTTCTTGTATTCTGTGACAGGTGAAACAGTTTCAGTGACAGGTGCAACAGTTTCTGTGACAGGTGTAACATAGTTTCTGTCACAGTTGTAACTTTGTTTCTGTGACAGGTGTAAGTTTGTTTCTGTGACATGTGCAACATAGTTTCTTGTACAGGTGTAACTTTGGTCCTGTTACAGGGGTAACTTTGTTTCTGCGACAGGTGTAACTTTCTGTGACGGTTATAATTTGTTTCTGTGACATGTGTAAAATAGTTTCTGAAACATGTAAAACATAGTTTCTTTGACAGGTGCAACAGTTTCTGTGCCAGGTGTAACTTTGTCTCTGTGACAGCTGTAACACTTTGTTTCTGTTACAGGTGTAACATAGTTTCTTGGACATGTGTTACATACGTTCTGTGACAGGTGTGATATAGTTTCTGTGACATGTGTTGCATACTTTCTGTGACAGGCGCAACATAGTTTCTGTGGCAGGTGTAACACTTTGTTCCTGTGACAGGTGTAAGTTTGTTTCTGTGACCCATATAACTTTGTTCCTGTTCCAGGTGTAACTTTTTTTCTGTGACAGGTTTAATATAGTTTCTGTTACACCTGTCACAAAAACAAAGTTACACCTGTACCAGGAACAAAGTTACTCCTGTCACAAAAACTGTTGCCCCTGTCACAGAAATTGTTGCGCCTGTCACAGAAACTAGGTTACACCTGTCACAGAGTTATGTTACACCTGTCTCAGAAACAAGGTGTTACACCTGTCACTGAAACAAGGTGTTACACCTGTCACGGAACCTGTTACACCTGTCACAAAAACAAAGTTACACCTGTTACAGAAAGTATGTAACACATTTTAAAAAAACTATGTTACACCTGTAACAGGAACAACGTTACACCAGTCACAGAAACAAAGTTGCACCTGTAACAGAAACAAAATGCTACACCTGTCACAGAGTTATGTTACACCTGTTACAGAAAGTATGTAACACATTTTAAAAAAACTATGTTACCCCTGACACAGAAACTGTTGCGCGTGACACAGAAACTGTTCCACCTGTCACAGAAAGCATGTAACACATGTTACAGAAACTATGTTAAACCTGTCACAGAAAAAAAGTTACACCTGTCACAGGTGTAACTTTGTTTCTGTGACAGGTGCAACATAGTTTCTGTTACAGGTGTAACTTTGTTTCTGTGACAGGTGTAACCTTGTTTCTGTGACAGGTGTAACTTTGTTTCTGTGACAGGTGTAACTTTGTTTCTGTGACAGGTGCAACAGTTTCTGTGACAGGTGCAACAGTTTCTGTGACAGGTGTAACTATGTTGCACCTGTCACAGAAACTGTTGACCTGTCACAGAAACAAAGTTACACCTGTCACAGGTGTAACTTTGTTTCTGTGACAGGTGTAACTTTGTTTCTGTGACAGGTGCAACATAATTTCTGTGACAGGTGCAACATAGTTTCTGTGACAGGTGTAACATAGTTTCTGTGACAGGCGTAACATAGTTTCTGTGACATGTGATACATACTTTCTGTGACAGGTGTAACTTTGTCTTTGTTTCTGTGACAGGTGTAACATAGTTTCTGTGACATGTGTTACATACTTTCTGTGACAGGTGTAAAATAGTTTCTGTAACAGGTATAACATAGTTTCTTTGACAGGTGTAACATAGTTTCTGTGACAGATGTAACTTTGTTTCTGTGACAGGTGTAACATAGTTTCTGTGACAGGTGTAACATAGTTTCTGTGACAGGTGTAACTTTGTTTCTGTGAAAGGTGTAACATAGTTTCTGTGACATGTGTTACATACTTTCTGTAACAGGTGTAACATAGTTTCTGTAACAGGTGTAACATAGTTTCTTTGACAGGTGTAACATAGTTTCTGTGACAGGTGTAACTTTGTTTCTGTGAAAGGTGTAACATAGTTTCTGTGGCAGGTGTAACATAACTCTGTGACAGGTGTAACATTATTTCTGTGACAGGTGTAACATAGTTTCTGTGACAGGTGTAACTTCTTGTTCCTGCAACAGGTGTAACATAACTCTGTGACAGGTGTAACATTATTTCTGTGACAGGTGTAACATAGTTTCTGTGACAGGCGTAACACTTTGTTTCTGTGACAGGTGTAACTTCTTGTTCCTGCAACAGGTGTAACATAACTCTGTGACAGGGGTAACATAATTTCTGGGACAGGTGTAACATAGTTTCTGTAACAGGTGTAACATAGTTTCTGTTACAGGTGTAACTTACATTCTGTGACAGGTGTAACATAGTTTCTGTGACAGATGTAACTTACATTCTGTGACAGGTGTAACACTTTGTTTCTGTGGCAGGTGTAACATAGTTTCTTTGACAGGTGTAACATAGTTTCTGTGACAGAAGTGTAACATAGTTTCTGACAGGTGTAACTTACATTCTGTGACAGGTGTAACTTTGTTTCTGTGACAGGTGTAACACTTTGTTTCTGTGACAAGTGTAACATAGTTTCTTTGACAGGTGCAACATAGTTTCTGTGACAGGTGTAACATAGTTTCTGTGACAGATGTAACTTACATTCTGTGACAGGTGTAACACTTTGTTTCTGTGACAGGTGTAACACTTTGTTTCTGTGACAGGTGTAACATAGTTTCTTTGACAGGTTAAGTTTTCATAAAAGTATCAGAGTAGTATTCAAAATATGGAGAAAGAATAACTTAAAATCTTGATATATTTTTTTGAATTTCGATGAATTTGGAGGCCAAAACGACCCAAACACGACCCACACCATGCTCTTTGGTATTAACAGAGACATACCTGACAGCAACTGTATTGACAAGTCCTGTGATGACAGCTTCTTTGTTGACAGCCTCGTATCGACAGGTCCTGTTTAGACATATCCTGTGTTTACAGCTCTGGTATCCAGGGTCCTATTTTGACAGCTCCATGATTCACAGGTCCTGTGTTGACAGTTTAGTATCAACAGCTAAGGCATTGTGAACTAATTGATGTTACATCTGTATTTAATCACTGAGAAAATATTTCCATGTTCGTTTATTATTATAGAAGGAATTCCTATGTTATGATAAGCTCAATATATGACTGATGTGATGATATGTTCTTGCTGGCCAGGGATGACATCAATGGATTACCCAAGACCATCAAGTTATAAAAACTAATACATGTACAAAATCTTTGTCTTTAAAGATGCACTGGAAGTGTCTCGATGAATGCTCAGTCGGTAATCTGCATTACAAGAAATTGAAAATATCATCATTTTTTATCAATATTTCCTGATCCTGGGAAGCAAAGACTGCCAGTAACAGTTCAAACCCCGGCCAGCAAACATAGTTTCATCTCCTTGAGGTTTTAACTTTCATTAATGATGTTTTTCGTATTCTGTTTCTCTTCTCTTAGAATTTCATTCATTCATATGCTGTTTATTATGAGTTACTATCTCTTTATAACCTTTTCTTGGTGCAAATAATGTTCAAAGTTTGATTTTGAAGAGCAACATTGGAAGAGGGGAAATTGTATATATGAATATAAATTAACAATAAACATTATAATGAATAGATTTTATAATATTTAATTGAGTGAGGTTGTGGTGAAATATGTGTGAATTTTTTTTGACAAAAACTATTTGCATGATAAAATCTTGATTGATGTTTGCGGTGTTAGTATATCTGTCTTTGTATTTTAGAAACGACTTTTATGTATACTTTGCTTTCAGCATGTAGATATTGTGGTTTTTGTTGGTAGATTTTGTTCTTTATTTATAAGTTATAAATTCGCTTTAGTTATTTATGATTATATAAACACTTTATTTGATAGATGTTGTGTAAACATCTAAAAAGGACAAACTTGATGAATATATATATATATGTAAGATGAGTAGTTAAGCCTCATCAGCAATAACGACAGTATGGATGGGTTCGGTATCTGAACAAAGTAATGTTCACCGAGTGCATATTACTTAACTATATATAAAAAATGGGTACATTTATATATATTCAGTTCAAAGTTTAATATGATCTGAATATCTATATGCAAACTAAACTTCAACTAATTAATTAATTTCATCACATTTTCATAATACATTGTGATTTAAATTTTAAAAGCAAAACTTTTTGAAATGTTTGATTATAAACATACTTATTTTGGTAATAATGATATTTTGTCACTTTTTACAACAATATGAAAGTACATAAAGTTAAATGTTAAATCATTAAAGCACTAATCCATGATGCATGTAACTTGAAATAGGTTGCAAATGCATTGAAACACAAGTGTTCTCTTGTGTTCTAGTATGTTAAAAGTATCTAGATACAAATTAGGGAGAGTAGTACCTGTATTCAGCAACGTTGTCCTTTTTTATTCTATACTTTGTATCAATGTCAAAATACACTGTATCAATGTCAAAATACACTGTATCAATGTCAGTCTAATAACAATATCAATGTCAGTCTAATTACAATATCAATGTCAAAATACACTGTATCAATGTCAAAATACACTATCAATGTCAAAATACACCATCAATGTCAGTCTAATTACACTGTATCAATGTCAGTCTAATAACACTGTATCAATGTCAGTCTAATTACAATATCAATGTCTGTCTAATTACACTGTATAAATATCGGTCTAATTACAATATCAATGTCTGTCTTATTACATGTATCAGTCTAATTACAATATCATTGTCGGTCTAATTACACTGTATCAATGTCATTCTAATAACACTGTATCATTGTCTGTCTGATGACACTATCAATATCGGTCTAATTAAACTGTATCAATGTCAGTCTAATTACATTGCATCAATATCAGTCTAATTACACTATATCAATTAAACTGTATCAATGTCATTCTAATAGCACTGAATTATTGTCAGTCTAATTACACTGTATCAATATCGGTCTAATTACACTGTATCAATGTCATTCTAATAACACTGTATCATTGTAATTACACTGTATCAATATCGGTCTAATTAAACTGTATCAATGTCAGTCTAATTACATTGCATCAATATCAGTCTAATTACATTGTATCAATTGTCAGTCTAATTACATTGTATTAATATCTGTCTAATATTTGTGTAATTACATTGTATCAATATCATAATTACATTATCAATATCAGTCTAATTACAATGCATCAATATCAGTCTAATTATGATGTATCAATATCAGTCTAATTACAATGTATCAAAATCAATATCAGTCTAATTACATTGCATCAATATCATTCTAATTACACTGTATCAGTTGTCAGTCTTATTACATTGTTTTAATATCGGTCTTATTACATTGCATCAATATCATTCTAATTACACTGTATCAATATCGGTCTAATTACACTGTATAAATATCAGTCTAATTACAATGTATCATGGTCTTTTTAATTACACTGTATCAAAGTCAGTCTAATTGCATTGTATCAATGTCAGTGTAATTACATTGCATCAATGTCAGTGTAATTATATTGCATCAATATCAGTGTAATTACATTATGCATCAATATCAGTCTAATTATAATATATCAATATCAGTCTAATTATGATGTATCAATATCAGTCTAATTACACTGTGTCAATATTAGTCTAATCACAATGTATCAAGGTTGGTCTAATTACACTGTATCAATGTTAGTCTAATTACACTGCATCAATGTCGGTCTAATTACAATGTATCAATATCAGTCTAATTACACTGTATCAATATAAGTCTAATTACACTGTATCAAGGTTGGTCTAATTACACTGTATCAATGTTAGTCTAATTACACTGTATCAATGTCAGTCTAATTACACTATCATTGTCAGTCTAATTGCACTATCAATGTTAGTCTACTTACACTGTATCAATGTCATTCTAATAGTGTATAAATGTTAGTCTTATTACACTGTATCGTTGTCAGTTTTATTACACTGTTTATCAAGTTGTGACTAATTATTATGCTGGGTATCAATATCATTTAAATAGAAAATTAGTTGCATGTTGGTGATGATGATGTCAATTGTTTCAGGTACATAGAATTTTCCATATCATCTTTTGTTATATGTCTGGAATATCACTTCATGGCAATATGCATAGATATTAAGAAGAGGTAAACGTATTGTTTAATTTCTATATATTGTTTCAAGAATGATATGTATATATTTGTTTACAAATGAAAAGACCAAATAATTCATAATGCTCATTTCTTGATATGAAGAAAGATTTGTTTTCTATTATTTCTGTTCCAATGCCTGTATTTCATATAACAGGTTATAAGAAACCCATATTTTCACACATTATCATGATTAAAATACAAGTAATTTTCTATAGTTATATGTACTCTTTGAGTAGGGTGTAGATATCTTAACTCCATTATTGAACCATTTGGGACTGTTGCCCTAAATAGTGTAGTACTATATTTTGCATTAGTTTTATAATTTATGATAAGTAATCATTTTAATTTCAGTTATTATTACCTAGTTGTAAGAAGGTTGGATGTCATATTTTCTTACCTGTTGTACACATTTCTATAAGCTTGTGTTGTATTTACTACAAGAAATATTTGTGTTGTATACAATATAAGCTAGTGAGTCATTTACAACATGAACTTGTATGTTTGTACAATAAGAACTCGCATTTCACACAAGATATGATGAGATTGTGTGTCATACAAGATAAACTTGTGTGGTTACCACAATAAGTTTGTGTAGTGAACCCAATAAGTTTGTCTGGTGTAGGCTTATATGATGCAATAAGTTTGTCTGGTGTAGGCTTACATGATGCAATAAGTTTGTCTGGTGAACACAGTACTTGGTATGGTGATGTAAACCTCACAATGTAAGTTTTTGTAATCTGACACACAGTATAATACACTTGTGTGCCTTAACTATATATAATATTATATGCGTGTACATTCTAGTCTTTCCAGACAGGTGTAACTTGTTCCATATGTGCCAAAATCAGTTGTACATAATTTTTACCCGAGTTTGGCAGTTTGATTTGCGTGCAATACTATGGTAACTGTACCACAGTGTTCCTATTAACTGTTTGAGCGTTGTGAGTTTACCCATTTTATTTAGCATGCAGATGAATGAAAAGTTGTAAGCAAGAACAAAATAGTGTGCATTTATTTCTATTTTTTGTTTTATATATTCAATGTCTTCATTTGTAATTTACCAGCTCTTCATTAAAATTTCTTTTTGTGAAATATGGATAGTCATTGTTATTTATACAAAAAGGATTCTATATATATGAACTACTTTACATCATTACTATCAATGAAAGTTTTTAGCCCACCATCATCTGATGGTGGGCTATTCAAATCACCCTGCGTCCTTGGTCCGTTGTCCGTGGTCCGTCGTCTAAGAAGTACCGGAGGGATCTTTCTCAAATTTTATATGCAGGTTCCCCTTGGTCCTTAGCTGTGCAGGGCAACTTTTGAGTCTGATCGGATAAACAACATGGCCGACAGGCAGCCATCTTGGATTTTGATAGTAAAAGTTTGTTATCACTATTTCTCAAGAAGTACTAGAGGGATCTTTCTATTCCTCAAGAAGTACTAGAGGGATCTTTCTCAAATTTTATATGTAGGTTCCTCTTGGTCCTTAGCTGTGCAGGGCAACTTTTGAGTCTGATCGGATAAACAACATGGCCGACAGGCAGCCATCTTGGATTTTGATAGTGAAAGTTTGTTATTGCTATTTCTCAAGAAGAACCAGAGGAATCTTTCTTGGTTCTTAGCTGTGCAGGGCAACTTTTGAGACTGATCGGATAAACAATATGGCCGACAGGCAGCCATCTTGGATTTTGATAGTGAAAGTTTGTTATCGCTATTTCTCAAGAAGTACCAGAGGGATCTTTCTCAAATTTTATATGTAGGTTCCCCTTGGTCCTTAGCTGTGCAGGGCAACTTTTGAGACTGATCGGATAAACAACATGGCCGACAGGCAGCCATCTTGGATTTTGATAGTGTAGGTTTGTTACCGCTATTTCTCCGGAAGAACTAGAGGGATCTTTCTTAAATTTTATATGTAGGTTCCCCTTGGTCCTAGCTGTGCAGGGCAATTTTTGAGACTGATCGGATAAACAACATGGCCGACAGGCAGCCATCTTGGATTTTGATATTGTAGGTTTGTTACCGCTATTTCTCCGGAAGAACTAGAGGGATCTTTCTTAAATTTTATATGTAGGTTCCCCTTGGTCCTAGCTGTGCAGGGCAATTTTAGAGACTGATCGGATAAACAACATGGCCGACAGGCAGCCATCTTGGATTTTGATAGTGAAAGTTTGTTATCGCTATTTCTCGGGAAGTACGGGAGGGATCTTTCTCAAATTTTAAATGTAGGTTCCCCTTGATCCCTCGTTGTGTATGTTATATTTTGAGACTGATCATAAAAACAAAATGGATTAAAAGAAGAACTAAACAGATCTTTCTCATATTGCAATGATCGATTCTATTTCTTTCACATTAAGTACTGTACTAGTAAATATGTGAAATGACAAACTCACTTTGAAGGTTGGCTTTCATACACATCAGTATTAAGTTTAGATCAAAAGTTACCTCAAGGTGCATTTACTGTTAACATGACTCGATCAAACAGATTAGAGGAAAGAAGAGAAAAGATCGAACTGACAAAGAACTAATGAAGATGGTACAAAGGTGGGCGCCAAGATCCCTCTGGGATCTCTTGTTAATTAATGGTATTACAGTACTTGGTCAGTTGAACTGAATGTAGACTGGCCCCTATCTCTAGAATATTGAATTATTTAGAAATGAGTTAGAAAAAAATAAACTCTTAATCATTTTGATCGCTTGGATGTCTAATTCTAGAGACCCTAAGTTCTCAAACTAGGGGGAGATTAGCTAGCCAGGAAATTCTTCATAAAAACTGGTAGCCAGTCTAAACTGAATGGTATTCCATCATTAGTACTCCATCATCACTTACGTACTCCAGTTCAGTTCATGGAACAATTTCCCAGGTTAACGGCACCAGTCAACCATGAGGTCTAGATGGTTTGACAGCGTTTTCAGTAGTAGTACTTCATCAGTAGGAGCCAATACTTCGTAAGCAGTACAAAAACAGGAGAGCTACAAATACCAACGGTACTTAATCTTTTCTCCATTAACAGTATTCTTTTTCCAAAGAACAGTGCATTGTAGTAATCAAAATGTATATCATCTATAACGCATCATTCTTTTTATCATTCACAGCAGGATCGGAAGACAATCTGCATCATCAGAAATATTCTATTAGAAGTTCTTCATCTATGTTACAGTATTGCAACAAAAGTATACCATCAAAGTACAAACTTAGTACATACCTGTTGACTTACGAGGATCTAAATCATCAGGTATCCATGGTATATATATCTGGGACCTACCAAACGAGTTCTCTATATCAAAGGAAATAGGTTTTTTACATTTCAATATATTTCAATATATTTCAATAGTTCTCAACGGTTAATAGTTCTTTACAGTAAATATATTTCAATAGTTCTCAACGGTAAATAGTTCTTTACAGTAAACATATTTCAATAGTTCTCAACAGTAAATAGTTCTTTACAGTAAATATATTTCAATAGTTCTAACAGGAAATAGTTCTTTACAGTAAATATATTTCAATAGTTCTCAACGGTAAATAGTTATTTACAGTAAATATATTTCATTAGTTCTCCACAGTAAATAGTTCTTTACAGTAAATATATTTCAATAGTTCTCATCGGTAAATAGTTCTTTACCATAAATACATTTCAATAGTTCTCAACAGTAATGGTTCTTTACAGTAAATATATTTCAATAGTTCTCAACGGTTACTAGTTCTTTACAGTAAATATATTTCAATAGTTCTCTACAGTAAATAGTTCTTCACAGTAAATATATTTCAATAGTTCTCGACTGTAAATAGTTCTTTACAGTAAATATATTTCAATATTTCTCGACTGTAAATAGTTCTTTAAAGTAAATATATTTCAATAGTTCTCAATGGTAAATAGTTCTTTACAGTAAATATATTTCAATAGTTCTAACAGGAAATAGTTCTTTACAGTAAATATATTTCAATAGTTCTCAACGGTAAATATATTTCAATAGTTCTCGACTGGAAATAGTTCTTTACCATAAATACATTTCAATAGTTCTCAACGGTAAATATATTTCAATAGTTCTTTACAGTAAATATATTTTAATAGTTCTCTACAGTAAAATGGATGTTTTGATGAATACAAGAGGAACCAAAAAGTAGTTAAACATATTTAAATAGGACACATGAAATAATTTCTTTACACTTGCACAAATATATAGCAAAGCCAAGGGGTCACAACAAACTGACAGTTTTCTTGACTTCCTGTTAAATCGTGGTAATTTTTTAACGAGTTGAGTAAATGTACTGATATTTTTCACAAGAATGAAACACCAGGAAATTTTTTAAAATGCTGAACTTAGTGAAGTAGTTTCCTGTGGGCATAAATTGTATGGAGTTTGACATTCACGAAAAGATAAGCCTGTATCTCAACATGGATAAGGCTGTATATCAACATGGATAAGGCTGTATCTCAACATGGATAAGCCTGTATCTCAGCATGGATAAGCCTGTATCTCAACATGGATAAGGCTGGATCTCAACATGGATAAGGCTGGATCTCAACATGGATAAGAAACAGATAAACACGAAAAGATAACACTGGATCTCAACATGGATAAGAATTTGCAAAGGACCTTAAAGAAATGAACACGGATAAACTCGGAAATATAAGGAAAAGATATTTTTATTAAAAATAAAATTTGGTGTTGGTCTAGATGTTGACAATATGATATGTAAATTGGCTCTGTATTGTCATCAATGGGAGACTTGATTGTTGCTGTATACAAATGGCGATGTGGGATTTTGGAAAGTGTTGAGTATTGTCAGGATCATTGGTTACAGCAGTCTGGATTCCATCATCACCCTGAAACCGGCAAAGTTTTACTTATCCACATTGGTCATGTCATACAGATGTAAGCCAATTCATCTGTGAATGATAAAAATCAATATAATGGTAATGAAACTAGGCCAACATAGAAAAGAAGTTATGCAATTTTGCAGATATTAAAAACAATTATTCTATCTAAATGCATATAAACTGATGTCCTATGTTAAATAATATTTTAATTCATCAATAGAATAAACACAATTCTTTTCTTATAATTGTATTCCATAAACAAAGTAGCTATAATGGGACACAGAGGTCGGACTACCATATGTATCATTCTTGGTGTAAGATGTTATCTGAAAGTATCTGTGTAATGGCTTCCACATGGCTAGAGAGATTGACCCCAAACAAGGCCCTGAACAGTATGAGAGGGTTGGCCCTAGGGGGTTCAGTTAGGAAGACTGATCCTGACAAATGCCCAGAAGGGGAGAGACTGATTAGCCCCATGAGGTCAATGGGAGGAATGACCCCAACCAAGGCTCCTCTGAGGGGAGGATTGCACCCCCCCCCCCCCCAAAGGGNCCCCCCCCCCCACAAAGAGAGGGGGGTGTTGGTAGGGAGGACTGATACCAAGGCCATATGGAGGGTTGACAGGGAGGGAAACATTTGATAAACATCCTCCTCCACCCACCACTAACATATCATAGATTCTCAGACCAGGGGGCAGGCAGACCAGTAAACCAAATACATCATGTTATTAGTAAACAAAATACAAAAGTTAATTATAACTACCTGGTACATCAAAATGTCTACTTCATGAACTTGCCCTTATACTATCAAAGTCCAACACTGTAAATCATTGTAACCTAGTTTTTTTATTACAAAGAATTTTAATCTGTATAGGTTTCCAATTCGTGAACTTGTGGTGTTACATTCCATAAACTTGCTGTCCAACCACATGTGCACATAAATCAAGCATCACTGTAGCAGAAGGAATCTCCATCAAGGGAGTCTCCCAGTACCAATACATATAGTTATCACCTAATTAACACTACATAGATATTGTCGGATAAACCAGACAACCCTTACATAACTATGTTAGATTGATGATATTCTACTTACAATACTGACATAACTTATGTTTTATTGACAATTAATTCAGACTTTTTTTCAGCAAAATTAATTAACAAGAACCTTAAAATCAACTTAATACAATAAAATAAGTGATTTAATTAGTATAGTGTCACTGCCTCCATGAGTACTACTGGATCCCACAAACTGATATTTAGGCCATTCCATGGTAGACACTTTATAGCTATTTTTAAGTTGTAACTTAAATGACACAAAAGCATAATTTAAACATATAGTTCTGTTTTTAGCTCACCTGGTCCAAAGGACCATGGTGAGCTTATACCATACCGCAGCGTACGTCGTACGTCTGTTTCCGTCCGTCAACTTTTCCTTTAAAACGCTACTTCTCCTGAATGACCAAGTAGATTTTGACCAAATTTGGTCAGAAGCATCCTTGGGTGAAGGGGAACAAATAAATGGGGGGTCTGGCCCCCCTGGGGGCTGAGGGGCGGGGCCCAATAGGGGAAATATAGCAAATTCTTTGAAATCCTTCTTCTTCTGTAGGAATGAAAGGATTTGTTCCATATTTGGTCTGAAGCATCCTTGGGTGAAGGGGAACCAATTTTGCGTAAACGGTGGGTCTGGCCCCCCCCCCCTGGGGGCTGAGTGGCGGGGCCCAATAGGGGAAATATAGCAAATTCTTTGAAATCCTTCTTCTTCTGTAGGAATGAAAGGATTTGTTCCATATTTGGTCTGAAGCATCCTTGGGTGAAGGGGAACCAGTTTTGTATAAACCGTGGGTCTGGCTCCCTAAGGGCCTGAGGGGCAGGGCCCAATAGAGGAAACATAGCAAATTCTTTAAAATCTTTCTTCTTCTGTAGGAATGAAAAGATTTGGTCCATATTTGGTCTGAAGCATTCTTAGGTGAAGGGGAACCAGTTTTGTATAAACGGTGGGTCTGGCCCCCATGGGGGCTGAGGGGCAGGACCCAGTAGGGGAAATATAACAAATTCTTTAAAATCCTTCTTTTTCTGTAGGAATGAAAGGATTTTGTCCATATTTGGTGTGGAACGTCCTTGGGTAAAGGGGATTCAATTTTGTATAAGCAATGGGTATGGTCTCCAAGGGGGCAGAAGGGTGGGGCCTAATAGGAGAAATAGAGGTAAACCTTTAAAATCATTCTACCATAGGGATGAAGGGATTTCTTCCCAATTTGGTCTGGAGGATCTTGGGCAAAAGGGACTCAATTTTGTATAAACAGTGAGTGTGCCACCGCTGGGGGCAGAAGGGCAGGGCCCAATAGGGGAAACATAGAAAATTCTTGACAGGATTTTGTCAAAATTTGGTATGAAGCATCCTTGGGTGAAGGGGAACCAATTTTATATAAATGGTGTGTCTAACCCCCCTTGAAGCAGAGAGGCGGGCGGGGCCCATAGGGGGAATAGAGGGAAAACCTTTAAAATCCTTCTTCTACCATAGAGATTAAGGGATTTTATCCTAATTTAGTCTGGAGCATCCTTGGGCCAAGGGGACTCAATTTTGTATAAGCAGTGGGTGTGGTTTTCCAGGGGGCAGAAGGGCGTGGCCCAATAAGAGAAATAGAGGTAAAACCTTTAAAATGCTTCTTCGACCATAGGGATTAGGGGTTTTATCCTAATTTAGTCTGGAGCATTCTTGGGTCAAGGGGACTCAATTTTGTATAAGCAGTGGGTGTGGTGAAATTTCATATGTACTTACAGAGCCTACCATGGAGTGCTATATCTTTACTTCATACCATTTTTTAAAAACATATTCAGGTGAGTGATACAGGCCCTCTGGGCCTCTTGTTTATTGTTAAAAGCAAAATCTTCACTTTATAAATTTGTACTAAGCTAACACAATACACATGTACTTCATATTCGTTTTATCACTATACATTACTGTCAAACCATGTTAATCAAACCACAACTAATCCAGTTGTCCCACCATCCAGCCATGCAGTGTTTTAGGGGACAACATTATCTTGTTCTATTTAAAAACAGCTTCCCAAACCATGACACTTTCATGTCAGTACATATGTAATGGAATAATGGTATCAACTTGCACATACTGGATTTTATTGTCATTAAAAAAATGTTGATCACAAAATTCTGTACATTAGATGTAGTAAATGGAAAGAGAAGTAAGGACCTACAAATAGATCTGAAAATGGATGTGAATACCAGTTACCATGGTAACATAACCTTATAGCAGCAATACCCAGATAAGACCCCCATCAAGACACATGGCTGACAGAGCTAGTCAGCTGTAGGACACCCCCTTCAAACTCCACAGAATACCCCCTCCCCTAGTCTTCAAAGCATTTCTCATAGCCCTATAACTAACATACACATCTAAATAAAGACTTGCATAATAGGTCTATGCAACACACAGTATGGTGTTACCAAAGAAACTTAAGATTTATCTCAAATAAGTGCCATATGCAGTCCAAGTGTTATGTAACACAAACTTAAGTACTGAAATATCTATCATATACCTAATAGCTTCTCACAGGAAACAAGGACTTAGCTGCTATTTGTATGACACACCACTATCATGTAGCAGATACGGTATATAAACAAACGGTGTTGGCATGGCAAAATTGGATTATGATTGAGTAAAAATATGTGGAAGAAAGTAATCTAAAAATATCAGTACAATGGGGTAGGCAGGACAAGGTGGGATTGGGTGGAGTAGTTGGGTGGGTGGGCTACTGAACTTCATTACCTTCCAGCAGCTATAGTATGACCACAGATTTGTGTCCGGGAGGAACATGTGCCCCAAGACAAAGAAATACATACAACAGAGAGAGAGAGAGAGGTCCCCCTCTAAAGTAGGTTAAGTGACATTCTCTTTTTGGACAAGTCTCGCAGTGTAAGTTTGGAGGGCTAAACAGACATACTATGGACCAGTCTGACCCCTCCAAGGTAGCCTAAGGACATGTAATATCCCCACATCATAAGACAGAGGGCTACAATGACATGCTAAGTGTGGACCATATTCCATAGTGTTAGACTAGATGGCTACAAGGACATGCTATGTGTGGACCATATTCCATAGTGTTAGACTGGAGGGCTACAAGGACCTACTATGTGTGGACCATATCCCATAGTGTTAGACTAGTGGGCTACAAGGACACACAATATGTGAACCAGTCTCCGTAGTGTTAGACTAGATGGCTAAAAGGACATGCTATGTGCGGACCATATTCCATAGTGTTAGACTAGAGGGCTACAAGGACACACTATACGTGGAACAGTCTCCATATTGTTAGACTAGAGGGCTACAAGGACACACTATATGTGAACCAGTCTCCATAGTGTTAGACTAGAGAGCTACAAGGACACACTATATGTAGACCAGTCTCCATAGTGTTAGACTAGAGGGCTACAAGGGCACAATATATGTGGAACAGTCTCCATAGTGTTAGACGAGAGGGCTACAAGGACACACTATACGTGGAACAGGCTCCATATTGTTAGACTAGAGGGCTACAAGGACACGATATATGTGGACCAGTCTCCATAGTGTTAGACCAGAGGGCTACAAGGACACAATATATGTGGAACAGTCTCCATAATGTTAGACTAGAGGCCTACAAGGACACACTATATGTGGGCCAGTTTCCATAGTGTCAGACTAGAGGGCTACAAGGACACAATATAGGTGGACCAGTCTCCATAGTGTTAGACTAGAGGGCTACAAGGATACAATATATGTGGATCAGTCTCCATAATGTTAGACTAGAGGACTACAAGGACACACTATATGTGGACCAGTCTCCATAGTGTTAGACTAGAGGGCTACAAGGACACAATATATGTGGACCAGTCTCCATAGTGTTAGACTAGAGGGCTACAAGGACACACTATATGTGGAACAGTCGCCATAGTGTTAGACTAGAGGGCTACAAGGTCACAATATACGTGGACCAGTCTCCATAGTGTTAGACTAGAGGGCTACAAGGACACAATATATGTGGAACAGTCTCCATAGTGTTAGACTAGAGG